AAGCTAAGAATAAAACCGTCACCGACCATGACGGATTAAGGAGTTGATTTTCTCTCTTATGCCAGAAGTTGCTAATGTGCACGTGTCTTGAACCGTCAACAACACCTGAGACCCGTGCGAGCTGCTCCTGACACGTGATCAAAGTGAGGAGAACGTTTCGGCGTGGAGCCTCACCTTCTGTAGTCAGTCACAGATGCCGACACGCTCGCCTTCATGAAGCCAAAGATCAAGCTGGACGACCTCTTCAGTAAATGGAATGTATTATTTCAGTTTCCCACTCAGTGGGATCCTATTTCCCTGAGTCCTTTTGAGTTCTCCTTCACACCTTTCCCTGAGTCCTTTTGAGTTCTCCTTCACACCTTTCCCTGAGTCCTTATGAGTTCTCCTTCACACCTTTCCCTGAGTCCTTTTGAGTTCTCCTTCACACCTTTCCCTGAGTCCTTTTGAGTTCTCCTTCACACCTTTCCCTGAGTCCTTATGAGTTCTCCTTCACACCTTTCCCTGAGTCCTTATGAGTTCTCCTTCACACCTTTCCCTGAGTCCTTATGAGTTCTCCTTCACACCTTTCCCTGAGTCCTTTTGAGTTCTCCTTCACACCTTTCCCTGAGTCCTTATGAGTTCTCCTTCACACCTTTCCCTGAGTCCTTATGAGTTCTCCTTCACACCTTTCCCTGAGTCCTTATGAGTTCTCCTTCACACCTTTCCCTGAGTCCTTATGAGTTCTCCTTCACACCTTTCCCTGAGTCCTTATGAGTTCTCCTTCACACCTTTCCCTGAGTCCTTATGAGTTCTCCTTCACACCTTTCCCTGAGTCCTTATGAGTTCTCCTTCACACCTTTCCCTGAGTCCTTATGAGTTCTCCTTCACACCTTTCCCTGAGTCCTTATGAGTTCTCCTTCACACCTTTCCCTGAGTCCTTATGAGTTCTCCTTCACACCTTTCCTTGAGCTCATGACGTTTTCCATCGAGGTCAAGGAAAGGAGGTTAGGAAAGGAGATTTTTTGGGACTTTTCGGACGCAGCCCACGTCTTCCTCACAGGTGTCCCATCAGCTGTTCAGAGCGGGGCTGTCATCAGCAGGTCCGACCGCTTTCAGAGCGCTACTCAGAGCGGCTCGCTTCCTGCCCGATGGACAAATGGATGGACAGCCGGATCCGCCGGTGTCACAGGCTTCCTGTGTCCGTCAAGTTTCCAGTAACACCTGCCCTTCGGTTACTCCCCGGCCCCAAGTGTGTCAAGATGGCCCTGGAGCCGCCGCGGCGGTCCGGCACCGGGGTCCTATTTTACCTGGACAACCTGCTGCTGCTGGCGCCGTCCCGGGACGAGGCGGTGCAGACGGCCCAGGTAGTCGCGCACCCGTCTTACCTGCGTTTCACGGTGAACTGGAAGAAGAGTTCTCCTCCCCTCCCAGAGACTCACCTACCATGGCTCTTTCTCTCTCCCCCTCTTTCTCCCTCGCTCTCTCGCCCTGTCTCCCTATCTCCCTCGTTCTCTTTCTCTCTCTCCCCCGGTCTCTCTCCCTCTCTCCCTCGTTCTCTTTCTCTCTCTCCCCCGCTCTCTCGCCCTTTCTCCCTCTCTCTCCCTCTCTCTTTCCCCCTCTCTCTCCCCCGCTCTCTCTCGCCCTATCTCCCTCTCCCTCGTTCTCTTTCTCTCTCTCTCCCCCTCTCTCTCCCTCTCTCACTCTTTTTCTCTCCCCCTCTCTCTCCCTCGTTCTCTTTCTCTCTCTCTCGCCCTCTCTCTCCCTCTCTCACTCTCTTTCTCTCCCCCTCGCTCTCCTCTCTCACTCTCTTTCTCTCTCCTCCCTCTCTCTCCCTCGTTCTCTTTCTCTCTCTCGCCCTCTCTCTCCCTCTCTCACTCTCTTTCTCTCCCCCTCTCTCTCCCTCTCTCTCTCTCTTTTCTCTCCCCTCTCTCTCCCTCGTTCTCTCTTCTCTCTCTCTCGCCCTCTCTCCCTCTCTCACTCTCTTCTCTCCCCCTCGCTCTCCCTCTCTCACTCTCTTTCTCTCCCCCCTCTCTCTCCCTCGTTCTCTTTCTCTCCCCCCTCTCTCGTTCTCTCTCCCCCTCTCTCTCCCTCGTTCTCTTTCTCTCTCTCTCACCCTCTCTCTCCCTCTCTCACTCTCTTTCTCTCCCCCTCGCTCTCCCTCTCTCACTCTCTTTCTCTCCCCCTCTCTCTCCCTCGTTCTCTTTCTCTCTCTCTCGCCCTCTCTCTCCTCTCTCACTCTCTTTCTCTCCCCTCTCTCTCCCTCTCTCACTCTTTTTCTCTCCCCCTCTCTCTCCCTCGTTCTCTTTCTCTCTCTCTCGCCCTCTGTCTCCCTCTCTCACTCTCTTTCTCTCCCCCTCGCTCTCCCCCCTCTCTCGTTCTCTCTCCCCCTCGCTCTCTCTCCCTCTCTCCCTAGTTCTTTCTCTCTCTCTCTCGCCCTCTCTCTCCCTCTCTCACTCTCTTTCTCTCCCCCCGCTCTCTCTCCCTTTCGCTCTCTCCCCCTCTCTCCCCCTCGCTCTCTCCCCCCTCTCTCCCCCCCTCTCTCGTGCGTGGCTGTGTGTGATGTTGGTCAGAGAGACAGAAGGCCTGCAGTCCCCCAAGACCTCATTAATGGTCTGAGAGGAGACACACACTAAAAGTCAGACATCTGGAAAAGGGCACAGGGCGCACACGCACACACACGCACACACCTGTGCACTGTGCACACACACAGTGCACAGGTGTGTGCGTGTCGAGACACACGTCCAGCAGAGAGTTCACTCTCAGGACACACACGCTGCAGGGAGTCCTGGCGTTCCAGCGTACTTTGTTAGTTAGTCGCTGTCGTCTGTCGGTCTGCTGCTCTGCCTGCAGTTGTCCCGTGTCAAACAGCTGAGCGTCCTCTCTGACATCGGACCTGCGCTCCCTTGCTGGAGTTTCCTTCTGCACTCTGTGGAGCTGGAGGCGGCTGATGAAGAGACAAATGTGCGAATCCTTTTGTGTAATACTTCTACTACTTCTTGTACTACTACAGTAAATACTGCGGGCACAGTAAGTCTTACGACCATGAACGCTGTTTTTACTCTCAGCGGTACATTCAGGAGCCAAACAATCAGTTATTAATTAGTCGCTGTTTTGAGAATCAGTGAATGAGCTGATTTCCTGCTTTATATATCATTCTATATTTATCTTAAACGTGTATTTTAGTCTTTTCAATTTCTTGCTTTTATCTTGTATTGTTTCTGTATTATTCTTTCCACTTGTTAAAGCACTTTGTAACTTGTTTTTGAAAAGTGCTCTACAAATAAAGGTTATTATAATTATTAGTTTTCCACTGGTGGAGATGTTACTTTGGGAAGTTTAACAGGCATGTGTAATATTGCAGAGACTGAATTGATTGGTTGAGAAAATAACTGGCAGATGAATCGATGAAGACAATAATGAATTAGTTGATAATTAACTGCAGCCCTGTCACATACTGACAGTAATAACAGTTAATCTTACTGTGCTGCTGCTGCTGCTGCTGGATCTTCCTGGTTTCACCTCACCTGTGGTATCGGCTGTACGAACGCCTTTAAAGCTGGGTTTGGGGATCATATCAAGTTTTAATGTGTGACACTTGACGAGGCCATGATGTAAAAAGGAGAAGAAAACATGCCATACAGTGACTTCAGAAGAACAGGGGAAGCAGAATAATCCCTCCACAAATAACAAAGTGGAAAGCTTAAATTACACAGCTTCAACAATGTCATCACAGTAACGCCATTAAAACGGGTATTCAGAACGTCCTCCTGTCTTGACCATCAGCAGCTCTGGAAGCTCTCAGCTGGACGGCCGTTCTCTGTTCTTTAAAGGAAGTTTTCATTTTTTACAAGACACGCTGAAAAACAGTAGCTCTTAGCGTTTTATTGAGTTAAGACACGCAGATGAAAGTTTTCTTCCGTAGGTGCAATACTTTTACCAGTAGTTCTTAGCGTTTACCTTTATTATTGTATGTAATGAATGAACATCTGTGAGGATGAATGAATGTGTGTTCTGGCACCTCACTGGAGAAGCACTTTGAATTTTGTTTTTTAACGATGCAATGACCATACAGGCTTTTCTGGGCTGTTCACACCTTCCTCTGGGGGCAGAATATTTGGGTGTGATCACTTGAAATGTTTGATGTGCTGGAGATGTGCAGCCTGCTGTTTGTTTCACTGCTGACAGCCAGATACTCCACGTGGAACGGGACGATACAATAAGTGCTTCAGAGCAGGGAAACTGAGGCTCGTTGGACTTGACTAACAGGAGATCACACAGGCGGTTAACAGCGTCACACGTTTATCGATTACTTCCAAAATACCTAAATTCACTCTAAAAGCGTGTGAGGTCAGCTGTGATTGGACGAGTGGAGAGGGCCGGATGGTTCCTACAGCAAGAGCGCAGAATACTTTACTGATCGCGGCGGCGAAGCTGCTGCTCACACTGCACGTCAACGTATAAAGGAGAAGAAAGAATAATGCGCTAAAAGGCTAGAAAGTTAATAAGTTTCTGGAGAGTTCTGGAAATGAGAGGATGGATCCCACTCTCACATCTGTCTGCTGGAGTTTGAAGCTACAGCCAGCAGCCAGTTACGTTAGCTTAGCTTAGCACAAAGACAGGAAACCCCTCTCTTGTTTTTCAGTGTTTTTAGTGATTAAACTGATGAGACATGTTAATCTGTGAGCTTTAGAGCTGCCCTTAGACAGAAGCTATCTGTTTCCAGTCTTTATGCTAAGCTAGGCTAAGCTAAGCTAAAGTGCTTCTGGCTGTAACTCCATGATAAGAGATAAGAAATACTGAGAGTGGTGGTGATTTTTAATGTTGTGGGCTCTTATTGTCTCATAGATGTGTGTTAGCTTTTATTTAAACATAATATTACGACCAAAGCGATCTGCTGGTGGCGTGAACATCGTTTACATGTTGCTGGTTTGAGTTTCGTTCCTGCCTTTCTTTCTTTTATGTGTGATATGATGTGATGAATGATTTTAACGCTCAGTTTTATTATTCCCTCCTCTGACCAGGACTGTCCCAGTGATGACGCCACGTCCACAGATCTGAGCCTTCAGGTTGGTGAGTAAAATGTTCTGATACTTGAGTCGAGCTGCTGGGGGGGGGGGGGGGGGGGCAAGCTGCTGCTCTGTCTCTTGGCTGTTGGTGCAGAGGGTAATGGCTGAGACACACTTTGACTAATGTTTGCATGGAGGACGTGTACATGACAGACCGATGGTGGCGAGCGACAAGGTGGGACCCGAAGTAAAAGGTCAAAGCAATGCAAAAACGCACAGAATGAGTGGCGACTGTAGAAAGCAGAAGCTGACATTTTGGGAGATTCAGAAATCCTGGACAGACGTTTTAGGTCCTAAAAAGAGGACATGTCAAGAGGATGTTTGGTCACCTTAGCCTGACCCCATACACTCACAAACAGACAGCCATGGTTTAAGTTAAGCCTGAGAGGCTGAGGTCAGGGCAGCAGGTGACCCTGATGCCAGTCAGCTGTGGAGGGAAACAGCTCAGTGAGACAGACGCATTCTGCAGCTGACGGTGAGCACGTCCCGCTGTCTTCCTCAACACTTACTAGTGTATCTCAGTTTTTTTAGTAATCAGATCTTTATTGTCATCTTGCATAAGAATCATGGGTAGTTGTGGAAACTGAGCAGAATCCATGGTCACATGATTAGCTGTGCAGGCAGCAATAACCCTTCAACACAGTCAGAGTTTATGTGTCCTTGCTTTGCTTGCATGAAATTGGCCCAAGGACATGTGACAAAGCAAAGCGAGACATCACAAGGCGCGAATGGAAATGATCGTTTCTGTCCCCAGAACACTGTTTTAACATTAAAACCACCATCATCTCTGCTGAATTATACTTTCATGAACTTTGCGTGCACATCATCGATCTGCATCACACGCCACGAATACAGATGCCCAGCTAATATTCCACCCTGTCGACCTGCCTGAAAGTGTTTCTCAGAAAAACCGAGTGAAGCTCGACTTGAGCTCAGTCCATCACGCCTGCAGCGCCGCTGTGGCCGGCTGTCTCTCATATGACTTTAGTGTTGTGGGAACATTCGGCCCAGAGGAACGGCGAACACGATGGAAACACAGAAATCTGTCTTTATTCTGTCCGGGACAAAGTTCCCCTTCAGCCATGTTCCGTCACCTCCGTCACCAACCCTGCGTCTGTCTGTGTGTCTTTCAGTTTAGCTCCTCACGTCTCCGCAGGGCTGCTTATCCTAGTTTGCAGGTTAAGGTTATGGTTATGGCTTGAGGTTAGACATGTGCTTTAACACGCAGCTTCTCTGCAAAGTCAAAGCACTGATGCGTTTCGTGCTCTCCCAGTATTCAGAGAACTGTGGTTTAGGGTTGGGGTGATATACGATGCCATCGTAAATCGGCGATGGCTGACAGACATGGAGACGTTGAGCCGGCGTCGTGATTGAGACCAGGATAAACAGTTAGTGTAAAACACTGTCTGTGTAATTTACTACCTGAAACAAGTGGATGTAGGTGTTACGTTACTGTTCGGAGCCTTCACAATCAAGGGCGTTGACTAGTAGGGACGGTATGAAGACATGTCCTGATCAATATCCAACGACGGCTGATCTGTCCCTCGCAATAATTCTGATCCAAAAACAAAATATAACCACTGTCAGTCAATGTATTTGGTACACAAATGGTTAAAGCACTCGTGCTCCAGTCCAATGTGTTTTTAAGTTTTGAAAGATTATGTCCTCCCCCTCATCAGCCTCACAGTGGTTTGGTCCGCTGCCTACCTTTTTCAGACCCTCAGACTTTATTTGTAAAAGCGACTAACGACAGATCTGGTGGGTTGCTCAGACCATCAGAGGGAAATTGTAGGCTCATTTATCCCCCTGCATGCTGCTCAGAGTCTCTCAGAGTCTCGGTCTTGTGTCTGCTGCTTTAATGGGGCCTGTGAACTCAGCGGCTCGTGGCTCTCTCGTTAGTCTGGGACCAATCACTCACAGAAACATGAGTTCAGCTGTGATTACACGGAGAAATGAAGCTTTGTTGCATTTTTCAACAGAGGGTAGATGCATTTTTTAACTTGGCTCATTTTAAAAAGACATTAGGAAATCGTCTGAGAGTCTTGCAGATGGTGTTTAGCTGTGTTTGTTTTTTCCTGCTCTCTGAGCCAGAATGGCTACCTGTCCCGCTCTCATCCTCCTCTTCTTTCTCTCACTTTCATGTTCTTTTATTTCTGTTTCCCTCTCTCTGCTTTTATCTCTGAGCTGCTTTTTGAAGCGCCTGTCCTCCCTCTCTCTCTCTGTCCCGCTGTATCTTTCATCTCTCTTTATCTCTCTGCCCGCCGTCCTTCTCTCTGTCTGTCTTTAAAAGTAACTTTACTGTGTTGTTGTTGTTCTCTCTTTCCTCTTTACGACTCTTTATATTCACCTCCATCTCTCTGCCGAGCTGCCAATTAGCGCGTTAGATGCAAAACCTCAAAAAGCCGTGCACGTCTTCATATACAGAAGAGGAGGAAGCAGAAATGAAATGGATCTGGGTCATCAGTGCACAGAAAGTGTGTTTTATCCTGGCTTTATTTTTAATGCCTAAACTTTATTCTGCCAGATTTGACATTACCCATTTGTACGACGATTGTCTTTTGCAGATCAGGATATGATGATGAACTGATGGGAATGGGATTGAATATTGTTGGAGTTATTACTACGGTGAAAAGACCAGGACAGATTCCTGAATACAAAAAAGAATCTGCTCCACTTTAACTTCTTGGCACTGAAAGCTAAAGGGCGTATTGGGGCCATGCGGGATGGGATTATCTTTTCAAAGTGCACTTCACTGTGTGACTTCTAGCTTTTGTTAAGCCATGCATCATAAACGAGGGGTTTCTTTTTAGGCTGCTGTTTTCCCAGCCGCTGCATTAAACATATTCTTGACATTTTATACATCCGGCCCCTGTGCTCCAGTTTCTTTCGGAGGTGACACCTGGAGTGCCGGTGAGGAGGTGTGGGGTCTCCGGGTCAAGTGGAGGAACATCAGAACAATATGAGCTCATTTCCTGCAGACATTGCTGCTGTGTGGGTCTTTCTCACACTGCCTTTCTCGCTCTCCGTCTTCATTTCTCTCAAATCCTCTGTTCATCTGTCAGTTTATTAATCAAAGAATATAAACATGGAGATTTTGTCCACCATTTATGGAATGTATTTTTATTGCATGTATCTAAATATATATCATGTGGCTCTTTTTATTATTATACTGACGGTGTTTTACAGTTTGTAGCCGTGCTGCATCATGACTCTAGGACTGGAAAGGTCTGTCAGTCGGTCTGTTGCTCTGTCTGTCTATCGGTCTGTCAGTCTGTTGGGCCTTCGCTCTATCAGTTGGTCTGTCAGTCGGTCGGTCGGTCTGTCAGTCTGTCAGTCGGTCAGTCTGTAAGTCAGTCGGTCTGTCAGTCGGTCGGTCGGTCTGTCTGTCTGTCGGGCCTTCGCTCTGTCTGTAGGTCGGTCTGTAAGTCAGTCGGTCTGTCAGTCTGTCAGTCGGTCGGTCTGTCTGTCAGTCGGTCTGTCAGTCTGTCAGTCGGTCTGTCAGTCTGTCAGTCGGTCTGTCAGTCTGTCAGTCTGTCAGTCTGTTGGGCTTTCGCTCTGTCTGTAGGTCAGTCTGTAAGTCAGTCGGTCTGTCAGTCTGTCAGTCGGTCTGTCAGTCTGTCAGTCGGTCTGTCAGTCTGTCAGTCTGTCAGTCGGTCTGTCAGTCTGTTGGGCCTTCGCTCTGTCAGGAAGATAACTTCAAATGAATTGAATGATCCCCTGATATCTCTTTAGTGCCACCAGGTCAGATCTTTCATTTATTCAGTGAAATATCAGCTGAATGGACTTGCACAAGATTCAGTACAAACACATGAGGTCTGATAACTTTTCATCTAGAGCCACCAAGAGGTCAAAGCTTTAACAAGCAAAACTAATGACATTCTCTTCAACACCTGTACTTTTACTGCTAATCAGCGTATGTTTAATCTAAGCCGGTGAACATGGTAAACCTACCTGCTTAGCTTGCTGACAGTATTTATCTGTCATCTATCGAAATCCTTCTTTTTGTGCATCTCTTTCTGTGTCTGCACTGTTACAGGCAGGTTAAATAAAGAGGAGGACTGTGTTGTTATGTCCGAGTGGACTGAGCAGAAAGTAGCTGATGCAAAAGCAATTTGCCTGACAAGTAATCTCGCACAGCCCCATCTCTCTCCACACCTCGTTTCACTTGGGTCTCGAGTGCTGAAGAGAAAGAGTTCGACAGTAGAAGTCTGCTGAAGCATGTTGTTAGGGTGAACTGAGAGTAGTGCAGTGTCAGTCTCTGTGGGTAGAGCAAGACTAACCCCGCCTGATCTCCCACTGAGGCTCACCATGCTAAAGACTCCTCACACATCCAGTGAGGTTAGTGTGTTTTTGTGCTTGCTGTAAAGGCTTTACCAGGTGCTGTTACATCCCCAGTTCATCCATGTGGACACAAAGTCGCTGTTCATATCTCATCTTCTGTTGGCAAGAGGTTGTGTTGGTTTTCTTAATATGAATCAGGTACTTTGAATGTTTTAAGCTTACCAGAAGGAGTGTGCTGATGTGGGAGACAGTTGTGATAAGCTCCTTGTTGAACTGCCTGTGGCTGTAACCTTTACTGACCATCAGTTGGCCTGTAAAAAGCCAGACTCATGGAATCAAGAAACTGTCTTTGCAGCAGCCCAGCTGAGCTTTTCCTGTCTGTCTAAAAAGCATTTGGCTTTCTGGATCCAACTTAGGCCTCATCCACACTGCTACAGAACGATTTCCGTCTACATTAAAACATCACGTGACCGTTCACGTACACTGGGCATGTGCGGTGTAAACAGGAAGCAGATTGTCTACTACGCAGCTGCAGAAGAAAGTTCTACTAGAAACGAAAGCAGAGCAGCGACGGTGAAGAACCACAGCAGAGATTTCTCTGCACAGAGCGACAGCGAGGTGGAACTGCGAGGAACACGGGAGGACGGAGAGACTGTGGCGGGAAACAGACTGCGAGTCGACGCAAAGTCAATCCGGAGACCTGCACAGTACAAGTGTAGAAGT